GGGGGGGTTAAACATATATATTTTAGATAATTCATAATTCTTGTATATCACATCTATATGTATTACAGAACAAAACTTTTGAAAGTATTCACAAAGTTCAAACACCTAGTAACACTAGTAACAGAGATACACATAAAAGATAAATTTTCAATTTCAATATTGTGTCTAATTACACCATTGTTTGTTCTAACAGTTAGAGGATATCATATAACCATTTTATGTACCCCTGTATCAACATAAACAATGTGTACCAATTTAATCACTACTGTACTGTACAAAAATATTAACTGAATGGCTGGTAACAGTGTATATAAAATATGTTATCCACTTGAACCACAGGGGCTAGTTACAAATGTCTGAAAAACACATGCTCTACTAATATGGGTCACAGTGCTAGTATAGCATATGTGTATTTCAGAAATTTTTAACAAGCCCCTGTGGCATATCTCAGACATAAAAATATGTACCCGCCTCCGATTCCCTCCCCCATTAGATAACAACCCGTTCGGGATGGATTACCTACCAGTATCACTATCAGAACCATATATCATCCGTCTACAATTTTGCATCAAGACGTTCGTTTGTACTTTCGTTTTGATGACATGTGTGTTGGCCTACTTACACACGTGTGCACGGCCATACGATACGACAACGGGATGCCACCTTCATCAGTTCATAGGATTGACAGAAATAAAAGGTGTTTAACGGGTTTGTTCTCCTTTCTCCCACTTTTTTCTGATCAAAGGAATTATATAAACACTGGACAACAATAGATGTGTCATTATAGTCTGTTCTGGTATAGCCCAGGGGGGGGGGTCTTCCCCGAATACCAACTCTGCTTAAATCACATGTGGTCAGTTGTGATGAAAGTGAGTTATAGTCTATTGCAGTAAAGTGTACAGGTAAATTGCACAGGTAAATCAACTTCTGATAACTAATCAGATAATCAATAGCTGCTGATAATTGCATAATAATAATTAATATTTAGAGTTCCGATCCCAAGCTGTTCTTCTGATAACTAATCAGATAATCACTAGCTGCTATTAATTGCAAAAGAATCAATAATATTTAGAGTTCCGATCCCAAGATGTTAAATGGGTAATGTATAAAACAGCAGCACACTTTGGAGAATTATCATATTTCGCTCTGTACTTGGAAACATCAACTTCTTTACTCAGTGAATGTGAATTTTGTATTCAGAATGTGTCATCGTTTTAGTTAAACTTGTACTTTCAGACTTGTGTAATTTCTCTTATAATTATTGTCATATAAAACTTGTACTTGTGTGCTTTGATACATCAACTACAAGATGGCAAACGCTCAGATCAACGTTAGGTTCATCACCAACAGAAAAGGCGGACAGAACCTTTCCCATGGGTAGAAGGAGACCGACCAACCTTGAACCACTTCTTAACAGAAGGACTTCGGACTACCAACCATCTGGAAGCTTGGCACGGAAAACTGAAGAAAAGAGTACTGCATGCCCACCCCAACATCTACACCATCATCCAGACGTTTAAGGACATACAGAACGTGAATGACATCAGCCGGATCCAGAAAGGTACTACTCAACCCCGAAAGAAGAGATACGCCAACATTGACAGACGCCTGGACACCCTGAAAGACCGTTATTAGACATAAGCTGGTGTGGGTGTGGGTGTGCATGAGTGTGAGAGGAAACGAATCACAACATTTTATATATTTAAGCATTGTACATATCTACCGGAATTAGAAGAAGACTGATATAGGCAAAGCCTGTTGTCTTATTCTTTTGTCAATACTGTTCTAATATCTTCTTTAATGTTAACTTATATGTTTGTATTATATATGTATTGTCAATAAAATACTTTTGAAATTGAAATTGAAAGACCGTTATCAGACTGGAACTATCGACCTGATGACCGCCGATTCAGCATCACAGCTTCTGCATCTGGGATAGAGTGTTTTGTGCTAGAGAATTAAGTGATATATATAGAGAATGTGATTTGTGCTAGAAACTTAATAATTATCCTTTAGTGCTGTATTAAAATGTGTATTACTGTTAAATGTATGAATAGAAACTTTATTTTATTGCTGACATTAGTATCAAAGTGGCTTGTATTAAGGAATTTTATTTTTCATATAATGTAATGCTATTTTTTTTCATATAATGTAAATATCAATATTTAATGATTATTTTCTATTATTTAGTGCTGTATTAAATGTGTATTACAGTTATTATATGTATGAATAAAAACTTTCTATCCATTTTATTATTGACTTTAGTATCATATATACAAAATGAGTTGACATTCTTAGTTGAAACAGGCTATAACTAAACTTCAAAGGATTTCCTATATAAACACCTTCCTTTGAATTTTCCAGAGTTGGTATTCGGGGAATGAGCCAGTACAGGGTAGAGTATTTACCTGTATTTACCTGTTCACCAATAGGAAATACTGTGTTAATTATAGGAATATTTAACAAACATATTTCCTGATTTTTCGTTATATTTACTAGAATTATGAATCAATATATACAATATTCCAGTTATTACTTAATAAAAACACATCAAAATACATTAACTGAAAATCTGCTTTTATTAATTTCATATTAAATCAATTTTATAAATTTTTATTATGCATGTTATATATAGATTTCATTAAATAGAACTAAATTTAGCTAGCAATGTATGACAAATATAATTAGTAAAGACAGAGATCATGTATTATATTATTAAATATGCAAAAACAGATGCAAAGCTGGGAATGAAAATAAATAAAACGAATCAATTACATGTACACATGGAATACTCAGCGCCGGTTGATCAAATCAATCATATTCATAAAATACACACATGCACAAAGATACATGATATAAAACTAATATAATAGCACTAACTTACTAAAGGTGAAATATTGGAAAGTCAATAAAAATCACAGATAAGTCCATGATTTTAAGAAATCCTAGCAAGCACCAAATAAAAATTCCATAACAAGCACATTTATCACAATGTCACTCTAAATGCAAAAGATTGGTTGTATATATTTGTGGATTTCACGTTACTGTTTTGTATGATCTTGCTGATGGAAATGGTATATGATATGAAAAAAATGTCTAAAAATTATAAAAATAAACTATATCAAAGCTACATGTATATGTATATGACATTACTAGTACTGCATACATGATACAGATAATGTGGGAGAACACAGGTAAAAACCAGGTAAAATACATATGAAACAGACTATAACTGCTATCACAACATTACTGCCTCTATGTTTTTTTTAAAAAAGTGGGAGAAAGGAGAACACACCGTTTAGCGCTTCAAACCGAACACAAAAATAACACTGTAGTCTATATATAGCTATGGGAAATGGCGTCGTCTGCATTTATTTGTACCCGGAAGCGATCTGCACGGGGGAGATATCACGTGATAAAATAAGCCTGACTGATTGGTCATGCGTGTCTGCGGTGAATCGGTGTATTTGTGATTATCAGTGTTAGCACGGACTTAGATAACAATTCTAATATAATTCCGTGGACTTAGGCTACCACATACGAACAAAAACGCAGACAATATGGCAAGTAACAGATCCTTATTGCGCGCCCAGGAACCCATTTGCCACACCTGCGATCTCTGTGACACTGACGAGGGGGTACGATGGTATTGTAACGATTGCCAGGAGAATTTATGTGAGCTTTGTATGGTAGCCCATAAACGCGAAAGGAAAACTAAAAACGATGACGTCGTGTCGATATGGGAGGCTAACCGTCAGGACGACAAGCCTGTATCGGAAGAATGCAAACTACATCCTGGTAAGCTGTGTGACATGTATTGTTATGATTGTGACACGCTGATATGTTTGATTTGTTTGGGGCAACTACATGAACAACACAACTGCACAACTTTTGAATACGAATTTAGAACCAAAAAGAAACTTTTGCGAGAACATAAGACAGCAATATCTGCTAGAATTGAAGATTTCAAGAACATGATATCGACGCTTTACCATGGTAACACCATTTTTACCGATAACATTGATACCATGAGGAAAGAGGTTACCACACAACGGACAAAGCTGAAGTCAGAAATAGATTCTATCGCCGATGCATTGCTGGCTGAGTTATCGTCCCTAGAAAAAGAAGAAGCGACAAAGCACAAGAAAGATGACCAACAGTTGGAGACATATATCGGAGAACTAACGCGACTGCTTGAAGAAGCGGAAGTGACGCACACATTTAGTATGTCCATGCTTAAAATGGAAAGGTCATTGAGGAAAACTCTGCCCTTGTATGATGTGAATGTGAACGATTTTTCGCCGAAACAACAAAGCTTTGTTACCGGAAGTATCGACCGCGTCATGTTGACAAAAATGTTAGGTGAATTAAACCACGCTAGCCAGTACGAGAAGACAGACATCGACAGTAAACACGTCCAGTGTCTTTCTAAGTTTACTATTACTCAACAAAATCAGATACTAGGTGTATGCCCAGTCGACGACAGTCACGCGTGGTTATCAATATATCAATACCAGGGTCTGGTACTGGTAAACAGGGAGGGAATGGTCAAAGAGACTGTAGAACTGGACTTCTATCCAAACAATATCGCCATGGTCGGGACAACAGACATACTCATGACCACCTACCCACAAAGCACATGTGTATATAAACTATCATTACACAACAAGCAAGTGACAAAATTTGCAGACGTCACACCAAATGAAGCAAATGACGTCAGCATCAATGAGAGTGGCTATGTGTTTGTTAGTACAGGTACACAAGACATAGTGGTACTGAATCAGGCAGGTACGTTTGTCAGGGAGGTGACCTGTGAAATAAATGTGTATTATACTGCATGTTTGTCGTCAGGAGACGTTGCAGTGTTGGACTCCTGTAGTGTTTTTATCCTAACAGACCTCTCGGGTACAACCAAGTATAAATGGGATGGTGAACTCAACAACGGTCAAAAGGTGTGTGATGTGCTCGTTAGTAGGATATCACGGGACAAATACGACAGACTGTTTGTAGTAGACTACCAGAACAATCAGGTGTATGTCCTACCGAGAGATAGTGCACATGCCACGGATCTCTTAGATCAGAAACATGGAGTGAGTGACCCAACAGCGGTGGGTGTGGACGCGTTCGGGAACGTGTGGATCGGGTGTGAGGATGGTACAGTACACGTGATGCGACTGTAGAGTTAGAAATTATGTGATTATGATAGAAAATGTAGGTGGATTTATATGTGTTTTATAATTATCCCTTAATGTTTTACGTAAACTAGAAAACTATCACCACAAATAGATTTAGAATAGTTCATGTACCTGAAATTTACATGTTTGTGTGTCGTAAAGATTTAATTTGACATTGAAGTTACAAAGATGTGAAGCTGAATAACTTGTAGCCTTAAGAAGTGATGATAAACTGTTTGTTTGGCTTAATAGGAATAGTAGGCAATGTCAAGGATGTGTAGTGGAGGGATACGCAACTTCCTCTTTGCCTTAGTAAATATGTTCCAAGTGAGGTTGGCTTATCTCCCTTGATCGGTGTTCCATGATACGAGCGCCCCCTAGCGGACAAGTTATGGCTTCATCAGAGCGTGTTTGAAGCGTGAAATTGGTGTGTAAACAAACCTATGGCAAGCCAAGTTGTCATTTATGCATGGAGCAATGTTGATCCAGTACTTAACCAAATTATATAAGATATCTTATTTAATTATATAAGATATCTTATATACTTTATGAGATATCTTATATACTTTATAAGATATCTTATATAATAAATGAGATATCTTATATATTTTATAAGATATCTTATATACCTTTCTTTATAAGATATCTCATAAAAGATATAAGATATCTTATA